CAAACCACTGGCTTTAATTAGGAGTGAGAATCTCTTATGTGATCAAGTGAAAGAGGTCTTACCTGATTGTGGATATCTTCACACTCAGGACAGATGTGAATTTTGCAGCATACTTCTCTGTAAGTAAATGTTTCTCTGAACAAGAAAGAAAGACAGAAAGTATAAACTGCACGTCAGATGCACTGTTCAGTGAGATCAAAGCGCACACAATCAACAAGAGTGTGGTGTGCAAGAGCCGAGCATGTGATACTGACCCCACACAGATGCATGCTGCCGCTCTCCTCCCTCCGCTCTCTCTGGCCCTCCTCCTACACTCACACTCAGTCCCACCCCTCACCTCCCTTCACTCCGTCTCTTTCAGCTCCATCAATCAATCATTCTGTACCTTTCTTCCTCCTCCACCCCTCTCTCTCTTTCTTTCTCTCTCTCTCTCACACACACACATGCAGCTCCAGTACATTAATTACAGACGATAATTACATAGCAGAAAGCAAAGGCAACCCCTGCTGGATTGTAATAACATGGTAAATAAATGAAATAGAATATTTAAGTGCTACTGCATACATCAAGGTATGCTATAGTGCAGGCTTTCAGTTAATTATTTATTAACTGAAATATTACTTATTAACATTTATCTCAGCTGTTAAACGTGTTTGTTTTATTGTTCCTTTTTTCGATGGTCTCTTGCAGTATTTGGAGCTTAAAGAAGCACAAAAATATAATCATTTTAACAAATAAATCTTCCTTTAGACATGAAATGTTATTCACTTATAATATGGGCTTTTGGGCGACATAGTGGCACAGTGGGTAGCGCTTTCGCAAGGAGCAAGAATGCTGCTGGTTCGAGCCTCGGATCAGTTGGCATTTCTGTGTGGAATTTACAGGTGCTTCAGTTTACCCCACAGTCCAAAGACATGCAGTGTAGATGAATTGAATAAACTAAATTGGCCGTAGCGTGTGGGTGTGAATGCAAGACTGTATGGGTTTTTCCCAGTGCTGGGTTGCAACTGGAATGGCATCCACTGTATAAAACAAATGCTGGATAAGTTGGTGGTTCATTTTACGCAACCCTTGATTAATAAAGGGACTAAGCTGAAAAGAAAATGAACGAAATGAATAAATGAATGAATAGGGCTGTTTAATGCTTGATTCTGATTGGCTGATGGACACATTATTTTAACAAAAAAATGGCTGATGTGAAAATTATTTTAACATAAACACAAAGCCAATTTAGTAGGCTACCAAATAGGAGCAATTTAAGGCAAATATTAACCTCGCCAAAATAGTGAAACCCTTTTTTTATTTAGGCTTCTTAGGTGGCAAAGAATTCTGGCCCAGATTTGACATAAATCTGGCACAGCAGGCATTCATCCGGCACTGTCATACAGCATGTGGGCCAAACATGGCCCAGGTTTGGCAGAGGTGGCACCGTCTTTAAGGTGGCACGCAATACTTGGGCCAGATGTAAAATGTAGTATTTGGCCCAGATGTTGATAAATGATATGTGGGCCATGTACGTTTAGCTTATCTTGACCCACATTTAAAATACATTTGTATTATTTTCAAATAAAGAAAAAAGATTCTACCAATCAAGTCGCTTCAAGAAAAAGCACGCCTTGAGTGCAATGATTCATGGGTTTATCAATTTCATTACAGTCAAGACACCAACATATCTGGCCCAGTTCAGGCTCAGTGATGGGTTATTGACTAGGCCCAGATATGGTCCATGTTTGGCCCTTGTCTGGAAGCCAGACTTGGTCATATCATGTACCGTAATTCACTGTGGCATCTGGACCAAGTAAAAGCTGATTGTGTGGCCCTAAGCTGGGTCAGAGATAGTTTGCTATGTGGGTTGTATTTAACAGTACTGTAAAAATACTCAAAAATGTCTGTCAGAGATTCCAAACATTTATATTTGGTTTAGCAAAGTTACTCGATTTCCCGATTTCACATCTGTTACATCCATAACAAAGCTTTTTCCTTATAAATGCAAAAAAAAAAAAATAAAAAAAAAATAACATCAGTTGTTTTTGTTCTATATGGAACAAACATGTATCTTTTTGATTAGCATTGTTTATTTTGGGTTGTGCTGTTAAATTTGCTGCATTTCTACAAAGTATGATGTATACTGTATATTGACAGACTTTTTTGACCATATCCGTGTTTACAAATTGATAATTTCTGATCCTTTAACTGTGGTTGTTTTGGAAAATACAAACAGATGTTTTAATATAATATTAACATATGCTTTGTATGAGAATTTGTTTTGAGTTTTCACTGAAAATGTCAAATCCATAACCCTGGAATTGCTCATGTTCCTGACTGCATTAGTTTTATGACCATTCTGAACTATTTCATTTATTTTAAATTACCTCACGTCAACAACTTTATTTCATTTCATCAAAATGAAATAAAAAAATTCATTCATTAATTTTCCTTCGGCACAGTCCCTTTATTTATCAGGGGCCATCACAGTGGAATGAACTGACAACTTATTTAGCACGTATTACACAGCGGATGCCCTTCCAGCTGCAACCCAGTACTGGGAAACATCCATACACACTCATTTACACACATACGGACTATTTAGTTCATTCAATCCACCTGCATCTTTGGACTGTGGGGGGAAACTGGAGCACTCGTAGGAAAACCACGCAAAAACCGGGAGAAACTCCACACAGAAATGCCAACTGACCCACCCGGGACTCGAAACAGCGAACTTCTTGCTGTGAGGCGACAGTGCTACTCACTGTGTCGCCCCCCAAAAAATAAATAACTAATACAATAGTAAAAACATACATAGGGAAAATAACTGACTCCGTTCTGTTGAATTAGAGGATAATAATGAACACCGAATTATTCTCTTGTAACAGATATCGCAAATGCTGTACTTACCTCTGAAGGTTCTGAAACCATATGGGTACATCTAGACGTTACTCTGTTGGCAAAGTCACATACCAAATAGTAGGCGAAAATGCTATAAATACAATTATTTCTTAATTCAAAATGTAGGCAAAAAAAAAAAACGTAACCAGGATGGCAACATTGAATGAAGTGACATCCAGATTACATTAATACACAGAATACACAATTTAGTGGTTGCAAAGTAATTAAGTCAAAATAAGACCGACTAAGCTGTTTATGCCCTGAACCAGGAATTAAACAGTTCTACATGACTTCAACACCTCAAAATAGCGCCTAAATTAATCCGAGTCAGTCAGATGGTTTAAATCACAAGTCGTAGTTTTCAAAAATTCAGTTGCAGGTACAATTGTTCAGTTCTGGAGTTCAATTGGCAGTTGTAATTGTACTTAAGTAGTAGTTCTAGGATGTACATCCTATGTTTGTTTGTTTTATAAGTTAACAACATATGTCAACAACGATAAGGCAAGAAATTACTGCCGTGGTCACATGGTTAAAACAGGAAGTTGTTCACAACTACCTACACGACAGGTAGCCTACCTCCCTGAAATTACCTTTCAATTTGAACTAGTTAAAATCTGATAATAACAGTACATGGCAAGTACACGTCATGCTTTTGGTGGTAACAGCTAGGTTATTAAGAACTATATAAGCAATCCCAAGATCAACATCATCAAAAATATGTTTGTTTCTGTTGTCCTGACATATTAATTAATGTTTAAATATCTCCATTCTGCATACAGGAAATCCAATAATTTAGAAACAATCAGAAGTTTCCTCCGGGTTCTCCAGTTTCCCCCACAATCCAAAGACATATGCTACAGGTGAATTGTATAAGCTAAATTAGGTGTAGTGTTTGTTTGTAAATGCAAGAGTGTATGGGTGTTTCCTAGTGTTGGGTTGTGGCTGAAAGGCCATCTGCTGTGTAAAACATATGCTGTATAAGTTGGCAGTTCATTCCGCTGTGGCGACCACTGATTAATAAAGGCAATAAGCTGAAAAGAAAATGAATGAATAATGTTTTCCAAGTTACATTCTGCTGTGTGATACAAGGCATGAAAGCATCGTCCGTCTCACTCAGTTGCACAAGGAATATTTTCCATCATTAGCTAATTGCAATCACTATCAAATCAATTTCCTGTTGCATCACATACTGGTTACCACTGCTGGCCAGAACCATAGACTGCATAAAAAAGCTGAGCAAATACAGCACAAACAGTCCAACACATGCCAAAAGCATCTTATAAAAACAATGTGAATTTAAAGGAAACGCACAAAATTAATTACCAATAAGTTCCTTTTATCTATTTTCTGGATTTTGATTTTTGTCTAATCAGGTAATTACACTTCATGGAGAGAAATCTTCTATGTTTTACTGAATCAGAAAATCTTGGATGACAAGGGATCAGTGAATTATTAGGATTTTTTGTGAATTAATCCTTTAATTACACATATGATTCATTAATTAGTAAAAATTTATTAAACTTACCAGATTAACGCTGGGCTCATTCATAGGTTCAGAAAAAAATCACCCATAATGATTAAATTTAAAAACATTTTGAAGCATAACGAACCCTCATTTACTGAAATCAAATGGCTGTGATTGACTGGTGACTCTAAACTACTTGTCCAAAACACATGATTTGCAAAGGTTTCAAAGCTTCACAAAGCAGTGTCTTGAAAGGATCCATAGGCCTATCAAAATCCAGTATTTTTGCAGTATCACAGCTGTGCAATGAGTCATAACGACCACTTGAAATCACAGTTAGGTTTATCCATTGGTTTCTCCTTGAAAAACAACTGATGTGACTCATTAGTCACCTGACTTCCCGCACAAGATTGAGCCTCTAGATAAACAGGTAAATGAAAACGGAACACATCAGACAAGGACACACTTTTCATGGAGCTGTTTGTGGGAAATCAACAATTCAATCCATTGTATGTGTTGTTTTGAATGGGGATGATGTTATTCTGCGATGTGTCATACTCTGCAAATGGTTTTGAAGAATTAGTTTCAGTCGAAATTTAACAGCAGAGAAGGTCAGATATATAAAGACAAACAACACAGAAGAGATAAATATGTATAAACTAACCTCTCTGATTTATTTAAAGAGTTTTAATACATTATTTTGGGATATTTAGAAGGTATTTATTCATGTACAAATTACAAATACATAGTTTATCAACTCTTCAGTTTAAATGTACAAAAAAAAAAAGAAAAAAATAAGAGAGAGAGAAATAGAGTGAAAAAACTAAACAAAATTTAAATCCCACGGCTGTTTAATAGCAGCTTTGCAACCTGGCAAGACATTTCCCCAAGTCTATTAAATGCAGAATTTCTGTCTAAAAAAAAAAAAAAAAAAAAAAAACATAAAGGCACTTCATTTTAATATTTTCTTTTTAAAGAAAAAATAAGAATAATTTCTAGAAGAAAAGCTGAGGTTAAAGGTCATGCCTGCTCCACAGGGCAGACATCCGCAGTGAACTAATGTCCCAGACACAGAAAAATAGCTGGCGTCTGTCATTAATACAAAGCAGCTCATATAAAAAGCTTATTTTAAAGACTTGACATTTTGTGCCGTGTATGTTTCCTATGAATGCATTGCAAGTGTGTGTTTGGTGTAAAAAGTGAACAGAAAAGCACAAGAAAGAAAAATCAGATAATTAATTATTCGGTAACAGACTAAAAGGAAGTAAAGAACTTGAAAATAAAAAAAATAAAAGCACAAGGGAGAGTGTTTGGCTTTTGCAATATAAAATATCCACACGCTTGGTGTCTTTGACTGGGTAAAATAAAGCAGTCCCCCAGTTTAAGGTCATAGGGTTTGTCAGTTTGCTGAAATATCACCTCTGCTATGTTCACACCTTTTCTACTTCCTAATACAGTAAAAAATAATATACTTACATAGAGCGATAAAACAAATATTTTATACAGTTCTCTCATAGACACCATAAGATGGCACATTAAACTCTCTTCATCTCAAGTAGGATTTTTGTAGGGTTGTTTTAGGGTGTTTGTTTTTATACAGTGCAGAATATATGGGCCTCGATTAAATAAGAGTGTTTTTAGCATCTTGCGCCCTCTGCTGGTCACTCTGTGCCCGTACTGGTGGCATTTTGTCTGTGGGGCACGCAGTAGTTGTGCTGGGCAGAGAGGATGAATCCTGGAAGGCACACACACTTATAAGAGCCTTGTGTGTTGATGCAGTTGCCGTTCTTGCAAAGAGACATCTTTGCGTTCAGCTCGGAGCATTCGTTGATATCTAGAACACGAAACACAAAATGAATAGTTCTGCTACACATCAGAATATAAAACTTAATGTCACTATTCAACTTATTATTTATGAATTATGGTTGTAAATAAATAGGGGGAAAAGAAATGTTTGAATTATTATTTTTTTTTTTCGTTTTTAAATATTTCCCAAATGATGTTTAACAGAGCAAGAAAATTTTCACAGTATGTCTGATAATATTTTTTTCTTCTGGAGAAAGTCTTATTTGTTTTATTTTGGCTAGAATAAAAGCAGTTTTTAATTTTTTAAATGCCATTTAAAGGTCAAATTATTAGCTTAATATTATTAAGCTTAGAATTATTATTATTAATATTATTATTATTATTATTATTATTATTAACAAACTTCAACTTTGTTGGTTGTTAATATGCGCCCTCTATTAACAAAAATTACACATCATGCCTTTAATTCTGTAAATTAAGCAATTAAGCCGATATAGTTAAATAAAGGATTATAAAATTGCCTCATTGTCTAATGACTAATTATTTTTGCTTCATTTTCACACTAATGATTTGACATTCCTCTTGTGTAGTTCTTTTGTGCAAAGAAATAAGGCCCCTGACACTTCTATCCCATGTAGTTTCGTTATTGTCACCATTAGGCCTGTGCACCATTCAGTGGAATTCATTCAAAAAAAATTCTGCACCCATCAAAATGACTTGTAAGTTTCAACAAAGGGTACACTCGTTTTTTGCAATCCAACATTTTATTACTGAAAAATGTTGTCATCTTTACTTGCTAATTAATCAAGCAAACTTACAGGAACATTATATCTCCAAAAAGTCCTAATACGTCTACTTGGTAAATAGTAATTACATCATTTAATGAATTTAAGAATTTTAGAGAGGATGTGCTCATGATGAGGACTGTATACTGTATATGTGCAAGAGCCATTAATGCAATTTGCTAATCTTTCTCAGTTCACAATTCTGATAGCAACTTGTGCCTGGGTGTGTATCACCTGCTTAGTCATGCCTCATTTTAGGAGATTAGTCATGATATTTACTTCCACTTTTCCATGAGAAGGTGAGAAAATCACACTCATTTACTAGTTATGAGTATTTTGAAGTTACATGACAGACACAATTTTGAATTAATGCCCCAATATTATTCACAAATACTGTTGGATCAAATAAAAATGTTTCAGTCTGCCTGCAGCTTTTCTCATTCCAATATCGAGAAAGATTAAACTCGCTACAATTTGACAATTACTGCATTTCATAATGCCTTTAAAGGAGTGAAAGTATTATAGTTAATATATAATTCTGTAATATTTGCATTGTATTATTGAAGATAGCGCCCATTGAAAATGTAATTGTGATGATTTCTTGACATTTGAATCCATTCTGTAAGTTTCCTCAAAAATACCCTCCTTCATGGGTTCTTTTCATTTACATTTGTGCCACTGATGTGTTGTACAAATGCAATATCAAACCTGTATCACACTTGTAACAGACACTAAAATACCATCTAATTATTATATGGCTTTTGCTAAAAAAATACAAAAATAAAATAAACTGTTTGTGTCAGAATGAACTGATAAGTAAACCTGAGCTAATTCCATCCACATTCTGAAAAATCATCATTCATCATCTCAGATCGTGTGAGACTTGTGCTCTTGCTCACCCACGCAGGCCATGCGGGACATGTCGAGTGTGTATCCATCGAAGCAGTCACAGGTGTATCCCTCCTGTACCCGCACACACCGACCGTTCTCGCATCCGTTCAGCACACCGCACTCCTCTGCTCGCAGTCCTTCAAATGCATCATATGGATCTGAGACAGAGGGGTTTAAAGCAAGTAAATTTTAGAAACTTGCATTTTTGGATAGACAGCTTCTTTAAGGTGTATATCTGTACTCACTTCTTGGTTCATCGTAATCTTCAATGTATGGAAGCGTGCCGTCAGGATTCAGAGGTTGAGGGTTATAATCAGGGCTGACCCCAATTGGGCCAGCGACCAGAGCATCCCGACCATACGGTCGACGGATATTACACATTTGGGCATAGGAGTCTGAATGAGAGTGAAATAGGAATGGATAGTTTTTCTTAGTGTTTGTAGGTACTTTGTGTTTCAGCAAATGTACAAGAATATAAGTACACTGTAGCCAGGAATAATGTATCATGTAAGCAATAAATGAAAAACAATATATTTTGCTAATACTGGATACTAAACCTAAACATATTGTTCGGATGTTGTATTTGAAGACATTTGTACATTTTTTTATATTCTTAAACAGCTTCTATGTGCAAACTAGTTTTTAAAACATCTGAACATTGTCTAGGTGTGGTATAAGTACAAAATAAGAAAGATAATAAATGTGTATAAAATATGTGAATTATTTACATGTAATATGTGGAAAAAAAATTTTTAAATTATTATTTTCTAATTAATCAACAATCTATCATCAATTATTCCTTAAAGAATAAGTTTTTTTTGTGAATTGTGGGGACATTTTTAGGCTTTTATTGTTTTGTGTTTGTTGTATGCAGTTTTACTTTCTAAAAAAAAAAAAAAAACTCATTTTGTATGTTTTGAGCTTTTTGAAAAGCTGTGTTCAGCAATGTCCTCATATTTCACCATCTCATTGTAATACTAAAACACACATTATATGTTTTTTTTTTTTTTTTTTCAGATTTGACTTTTTAAGTGAACGGTAAACAGATTTGTCTCATGAATAGATAATTAAATCACTGAGTCGCTCTATTAATAAAATACCAAAAATAAATAAATAAATAAATTACTTATGATAAAATGTAAATTAAATAATACAGGAACAAGCAGTGTTACTGTAAGATGCATAGATTTGCTGCACCAGCTTTGTTCCATTCAGCATGTATTCATAAGGAGCTTTGGGTATTTCTTATGTATGTGTATGTTGTTTTGACACTCAATTTGCATTTTATAACAAACCAAGGACCACAATTTCAGCTACAAATTCTACTAAAAAAGATGGATGGCTTCTGGTCGACTAAATTAACAGCAAATGTTTATATTAAGGTGAAATATCCATTTAATTATATTGCATAAACATAAAAAACATAGTTTTTTTAACTTGAATTATACAACCATTAGTATGGACATCAGTGTCAGCTCTCACATGATTAAAACAACAATTACCATATAACCATGGCAGAATTTATTTAAAAAAAATTTTTTAATGCAGAATGATTTTGGGAGTATCATTACTAAAACCTTAATATATGAAATAAAAAATAATACCTTTTTACTTTGTAATTAATGTTTACAAAGCAAACCCAATTAGATCCACTTATTTGGTAAACAAAGCAAATCTCTCATATAATATATGTAATGACAGACAGAAAATATTACTTTATGAACTTTATTGTAAATAAATCATATGCATATATTCATAATAGTCAATAATATTACGCTGTTAACCCTTACTGTAGATTATATTGTATTTTACTGTAAAAGGAGCAGGATTTGTATGAGATTTTGTAGTGCAAAGAATAAGTTACAGTAATTTACTTTATGTACCCATTACAGATAGTTACTGTGATAATAAATGGTAAATTACTGCTCAACCATTATTACCCCATGTACTCTGATGCTTTATGTATATATATACTGTTCAGTTTTGGTATGTGTATGGTCAGTATTGAGGAGAAAGTGAGACAATGCATTAATGATAAGCTAAATTTCTCTGCAGCCATCTCTGTTTTTTTTTTTGGTTCCTTTTATGTTTTTAACATTGAGTATCAGGAGTCAACCAATGTCAATGTCACAGAGCTAATTAAAAGGTAAAGATATCGACGAGATGCATTTAAAGGCAAAAATATTCACACAGAGCAACCAAATTATCACAATCATTTTTATAACTTCGTTTACTTTTCTATAATTATTCTAATTTGCCTAGTTTAGCCTATAGTTAAGCTTTTAAATTGCACTTTGAGCTGAATATTAGTATTTTGCTAAATAACTAGTAAAAATGTGTTATTTAAAAAATATCTTAAACAGCACGTACATGCATTTTTGAAGAGACTCAATGAATTTGTTTGGAAAACTTCAAATGAAGTAGGTAAAAGTGGCATTAACAGTATAGTATAAAGGCTTTCCTAAATAAATGTATTAATCAGGTTATTTTATTTATTTATTTATTTTTATTACTACAGGTTTGGAACAACATGAGGATCAGATTATTTATTATTATTTTTTATTTATTTATTTTTTGCTTTGGATGAAGTTTTTATATTTTTATTGTTTTTATTCAATGATATGTGCATGATTGTGATAAATGTAGGCAGTTCCTTTGAAAATATGCTATGTACAAGGGATTTCAAACTCCTGGAGGGCCGCAGCCCAGCAGAATTTAGTTCCAGCCCTGCTTCAACACACTACCTTTAGATTTAGTTTGATCAGGTGTGTTTAATTAGTATAACTGCACTGTTACTCTGTAGATTGTGCAGTAAATAACTGTAAAAAAAAAAAAAAACAATGATTTAGGCATCACCACACACTCCCACAGGCTGTCCGTCTTATTCTAAACACAAAGGTGTTAGAAAGAGTTTTCAGAAAATGCCGGCCCTTTAAGGGAGCCAGGTGTTTGATTTGTTTACTGCTGAGTGTGCTCTATTCTCTGTCCATCAATTCAGAGTTTGAGTCTGATATGTTTTAGGCTTTAAATAAGAATCTACAATGAGTAAGTAAAATGTGTTCAAATGTTTTTGAGGGTTTATAAAATAAGGCTGTGTTTTAAGTTATATTGTTGTTATCTTGAACTGTGTACTTGAAAGCTACATTGTTAGCTAGTTAGCCTCTCCTCATATAACTTCTTACATTACTTTTGTTTAAGTATATGTATTTATTCGATATTGCATACTGCCATAATGTACAGATGCTAACAGTTGTATGTATCTTTCTGGAAACTAAGCCAAAATTAAATTCCATCATCTCAGCAAGGTAACATGTGCACATCATCACAGGGAATCACAAAAACATGATACACATAGCCATCCACACACAAAAGCTCCCCTGTCCGGTCCCAGGTTGTGAGTTTGTTGCTAAGAATTTATCAGAGCAGTGTTTCCACCTATGAATTTATATTTGAAACAATAAAAAAGTTTGTTGTCATGCGATAACTATAACAATAAAAGATTGGATCCTTTGGTTTTTCGGTGTTGCCAACTTTATTTTTGTTTTCTATAATTATTTTAAACTTTTTTATTGAGATTTGACACAGTTTTTAATTATTTAAAACTTTAAAATAATTATTTTGTGTTTTTTGCTGTTCAGTTTTTTTTTGTTTTTTTTTTGCATGGTCAGCATTGAGGAGAGAGTAACACATTTCACTGCAGCACTTTGTGTGTGTGTGTGTTTATTGGATATGTGATTGTAATAAATGTTAGCAGTTGCTTTAAAAGTATGCTATATACCAGGGGTGCTCAATCCTGTTCCTAGAGATCGTTCGAGGTTACAGAAGTAACCCTTCGTTCCCCGAGGAGGGGAACGGAAGTGCCATGAATGGGAGGATTCGGATCAGAAGCCGCTTATCTGGAGAGTATTGAACGGGCCAATGAATGAAATTAATTGGCAGCGTAAGCTTGCGCAGGTGTGCGACATCTGCAATTATCTCAGCATATAAGCACACCTGAAGCCAGCAGACGCCATCCTTTTAAGCTGAAGAGACTTTCAAACAGCTAAGGGACAGTCATTATGGCGACGGAATATGGCACTTCCGTTCCCCTCCTCGGGGAACGAAGGGTTACTTCTGTAACCTCGAACGTTCCCCTTCGGTTGGGGAACTTCAGTGCCATGAATGGGAGAATATGGAAAGCGCCATAATGACTGCACCTTACCAACACCCCCGATGAGGAGATAGTCAAGCAAGCGTGACGCACCCACATCATGGGGGGCGCGGTCCTCCAACGTGTCCCTGGCCCTAATTTATCCTACTTCAACAGAAGTTTTACGGATTTAGATATATTTTTTGGGAAGTCGTGAGCATCTAGATAATTCTAGGAAATACGACAGTACGTTGGGAAGCGTGCAATCCCGATAGGGAGGACGCTGCGGAGGCCATCCGTTACCCAAGGGGGGGATAGATGGCAGAATTTACCTATGGACTAGCCCTAAAAAGGGGGAGTACGCATAGCAAAAGAGTGGTTAGCGGAGAGGGAAGACACGGGTCCGCCCAGGGGGGGGACTTAACCGTGGCGGAATAAGCATATGGGATCGCCTAGTGGGGATCACGCATAGCAGGCACCTATACCCAAAACGCGGGCTGACCAGCGGGCAGACCTACAACGTAGTGGGCCAGCAAGTGACTCCTCCGCTGAGTCAGTGCTGGGGGCCACGGAGGAATCTGCAGGGCTCACCTGACGGGGAACTTTACTGACAGATAAAAAAGGCGCACGTACCTCCGTGTTAGGGAGAATGGCGCAGCAAGCGTGTTTCAACACCCTACCGAGTTGTCTCCTCAATCACCAAAGGGTTACCTAATACCCTTGAGGAAACCGGCTCCACTCGCAGATTGTAAAACCTTGCAAATGTGTTGGGTGTCGCCCAGCCCGCAGCTCTACAGATGTCTGTTAGAGAGGCGCCGCGTGCATGCGCCCAAGAGGATGCAACGCTCCGAGTGGAGTGTGCACGTACTCCCGGGGGACACGGCTGACCTCGACTCGAATAAGCGAGTGAAATGGCATCCACAATCCAGTGGGATAATCTTTGTTTCGATACGGCACTTCCCTGCTGCCGACCGCCATAACAGACAAAGAGCTGCTCAGATGATCTAAAATTCTGAGTACGGTCCACATAAATGCGCAGAGCGCGAACTGGACAAAGTAAAGAAAGGGCTGGGTCTGCCTCCTCCGGGGGCAGCGCTTGCAGGTTCACTACCTGATCTCTAAAGGGGGTGGTAGGAACCTTGGGCACATAACCGGGGCGGGGTCTCAGGATAACGTGAGAGTAATCCGGCCCGAATTCCAGGCACGAGTCACTGACCGAAAATGCCTCCAGGTCCCCGACCCTCTTGATGGAGGCCAACGCAACCA